TGCAATAACGTAGTAATCAAAAGAATGGCAATCATAAATACATATAAATACATATCAAAAACATAAAATGCTGATGGCGGTCATAGTACACTGGCTGTTATTGTTCAAGTTAACATAGAGGGCCTTAACAGTTCAGATGTTAGCTGTTCAAATGTTATCAGTATATAATCAGTGGCAGCTCCAAATCGAAGGCCTGGTGGAAGATCTCTGTTTTACAGGCCTTGTAGGAGGTCTAAGTAAAATGTCTTACTGTTTTCCATCAGAGTATACCACCACTTGGAATGTTCTCTGAGATAGACTTGGAGGACTCTTGGGGAATATTACCTTGTTTAAATGTGTTTTATTTATATTTTATTTATTTTATAAGTTCGATTTCTAGCCCGCCCTCCCCGCTACGCGGATTCAGGGCAGCTTACAATCAGGCATAAGCCAACATATAAAACATATTTAACATATTTAAAACCATTTAAAACCATTCTACAATATTATAACATTATTATTAATAATAAGTGCTCTGATTATTCTGATTAGATCTTTCACAAGATGGCGTATTACTGTTGCTCCACCTTTCAGCGTCGTCTGCTCCAGGAAGCACTGACGTTCTTTCTTCCAGGGCCAGGTAATGATGGTACAGTAGTGATAGTAGTGATAGTGGCGGCTCCTACTCATATGCCAGTCCAGGGCGGGATATAAATCCAATCTCCTCCTCCTCCTCCTCTGAGACTCCAGGTGAAGAGCAGGGTATAAATCCAACTCCTCCTCCTCCTCCTCCTTCCAGTCCATATTTTTTCATGCCAGCTTCCAGCCCCATCTCCTTCACCCCAAGATTCAATCTCTCCACTCCTTTCCCCCCTTCCCCCTCCATCCACTGTCAGCCTCCCAGCAGCGTTCCATCAACTCTCATTCACCCTGAGGGAGGTGGGACGGGGACCTCTCCGTCACACCCGCCTTCCTCCCTGAAACCCAAGGCAGGTTAAAAACAGGGAATCACACTTTGAGCTTCAACAGGATCCCAGGCCATCAGCATTAACATGGAAGGTGCTTTGGGGAGCCAAAATACCAAGACTGAGCGGCAGCATGGTGTGCCCTTCTTGTGGACTGGCATGTACCTGGGCTTCAGTGGTCAAACTGGCAATCAAACCAGTAGTTGCTATCCCATTGGGCCAAGGTAGCAAAACTGGGTTGCCCCTCACTGGATTCAGGGTTCAGGTTCACATGAGGATGTGAGACCCTACACACTGCAGAGGGGTGTAGCCGGGACGTTGACTAGAGTGGGTCATCATTCCAGCCTTGGCACATCTACACCGGCTCCAAATTTGTACCCGGGGACAATTCAAGGTGCTGATCTTGATCTTTAAAACCCTGTGTGATTTGGAACCATTGTCCCTGAAGCACAGCCTACTCTGTTATGGACCCAGCCCAGGGGTGGCCAGACCTGCTTAACGTAAGAGCCACATAGAATAAACATCAGATGTTTGAGAGCCGCAAGACATGAAGAAATATTAGACGTTTTTACTGGGAAATATGCAGATTTGCTTTTTATTAACACACCAAAGAGTGATTAACACTTGGAATTCACTGCCACAGGAGGCGGTGGCGGCTACAAGCATGGACGGCTTCAAAAGGGAATTAGATAAGCATATGGAGCAGAGGTCCATCAGTGGCTATTAGCCACAAGGTATAGATAGGGCTCTGGGGCAAGTGATGCTCTGTCATCTTGGTGCTTGGGGGAGTCAACAGTGGGAGGGCTTCTAATGTCCTGGCCCCACTGGTGGACCTCCTGATGGCACCTGGTATTTTTGGCCCCCACTGTGTGATACAGAGTGTTGGACTGGATGGGCCTTTGGCCTGATCCAACATTGGCATCTCTTATGTTCTTATGTTAACATGAAACGAGACTGCCAGAAATAGTAACAAAAGCGGTAAAAGCAGATATTGATAATGATATTTATTTGCCCAATGATATTTATTTGTTTGCTGATGATATCTAGCTTCCCCAGCCACCCTGCCAGGAGCCACACAATATATGTGAAAGAGAAGAAGAAGAAGAGAGATGTCTCAGAGCGGCTGACAAACTCTTCTTCCCTTCCCCTCCCCACAACAGGCACCCCGTGAGGTAGGCGGGGCTGAGAGAGCTCTGACAGAAACGGCTCTTTTCCAAGGACAGCTCTTATCAGAACTATGGCTTGCCCAAGGTCATCCAGCCAGGTGCAAGTGGAGGAGGAGTGGGGAATCCGATTCCGTGCACTTAACCACCACACCAAACTGGCTCTCCCAAGCCGCAATTTGGCCACTCCTGACCTAGCCAACCACTGTGTTGGTGATCCCTGGGGGTCCTGCTAAAGGTACCCCCACCTTCTGAGACTAGGCAGGCAGCACGTGAGGGACTTCTCGGTCGTGGCACCAAAACTCTGGATGTTCCTCCTCGGGAAGACTTGCCCGTCCGTTCCCTTCTGTTGCCATCTTCTGCCAATGGGTGTCGTTTGGCGTTCCCTCAGGGACCCCTCTTCCCTCCCTCAATAATAATAAGTATCTATTGCTACTAACAAGTGTATAGAGTAATTCTAAGTCATTCTAAGCATGTATACTCAGAAGCAAGTCCCATGGAGCTCAGTGTCCATTTCCTATTTCTGATATTTTGGTTGGTATTGATAAAAAGATATTACAAGCAGTGTTCCCGCTAAGCTGAGTTAGTGTGAGCCAGCTCACAGCTTTGTAGCCTCCGGCTCACACATTTTTCTCTCAGCTCAGGAAGGAGGGCTCCAGAGCAATCTAATTTACGCAGCAGCCAAATTGCTGGCTCGCAACTTTAATGCCAGGAGCTCACAGAGCAGAATTTTTGCTCGCAGGACTCCACAGCTTAGAGGGAGCATTGATTACAATAGTACTAACATTAACCCTTAGGTAAAGGTAAAGGTTCCCTTGCTTGAAAGCGGTGTTGCGGTGCTCATCTCCGTTTCAAAGCCGAAGAGCCAGCGCTGTCCGAAGACGTTTCCGTGGTCATGTGGCTGGCATGACTAAACACCAAGGCGCACGGAACGCTGTTCCCTTCCCACTGAAGTGGTCCCTATTTATCTACTTGCAATGTCTTGCTTTCGAACTGCTAGGTTGGCAGGAGCTGGAACTAGAGACGGGAGCTCACTCTGTCATGCGGCACCCGGGTCTCGAACTGCTGAACTACCGACCTTCCACAGCCTGCAGTTCAGCGTCTTGACCACTTGAGCCACCACAGCTTAGTGAGGGCCAAAAATGATGAAGGGTTTTGTTGGGGAGGGTGTTGGGGTTTTTTGGGGGGGGGAAATGGCCGTGACTTTGGGGGGGATCCTCGAAAGGAGTTCCACAGACTAGCCGGAAGCCCCTCCCTGTGGGGATGATTATTGGCCAGCCAGTGGGCGGGGCCTCTGCATACCCCCCCCCCAGGGAACCCCTCCTCCCTCCCTTCAGGATCCCAACTGCCAACAGCAGATCGGGAAGGTGTGCATCGCAGCTGGTCCACTCTGGCCCTTTCTGGTGGTTTGTGGGGTTGGGGAAAGGAGCCCCAGAAGGGGAGGCTGGTGGGTGTGGGGAGACAGGCAGACACACACACACACCCTTGGGGACAACAGTTGGACAGCAGCAGTTCTTTCTTCTTGATCTTGGGAGGGGCCGAGCCTCTGATTGGCACGCACAAGGTCCCAGGTTCAATCTCCTGCAGCATCTCCGGTTCAAAAGGACCATACAGGAGGGGATGTGACTGACCTCCACCTGAGACCCTGAAGAGCCACGGCTAGTCTGAGTGGACGATGTTGACTCTGAGGGACCCAGGGCCTGATTCAGTATAAGGCAGCTTCCTTCATCTTAAGTCAGGGGTGTCGAACTCATTTGTTATGCGTGCCGGATCTGACATAAACGAGGCCTCGTTGGGCTGGCCCAGGTGTGCCATAAAATGTAATGCCAGGTAGCGGAGATATAAACTTTATAAAGGACACAAACATTTTTACAATATAATAGTACATGAAACCAATATCATTCAATAATTACAGAATTGAGTCTCATACATTATTATGTCATACATTATCATACAGCCATTTATATACCTTTCTCCATCTTCTCCAATATAGTTCTTCATCTTTTTTCTTGCTTTATAATAGACAATTTGTCCATTTCTGCTATCTCCAGCAGTCTATGCATTACGTCATCTTTTGAAGGTATTCTCTCTGACCCATTGTTTAGCAAATAGTATATGAGCAGCTGTTAGTATATAACTTATTACATATATATCCTCTTTCTTATAGCTTTCAGGCAGTATATTTAATAAGAAAATTTCTGGTATATGTGGCAGATCTATGTTGTAATCTTGAGTACGCTGTTCAGGTGTGTATCTGTAAGCTGCAAACCTACGATGACACAGCAGCAGCAGAACTGGAAGAAGAAGCAGAAGACAGCCAGTTCCATTGCGGGCCTGATAGAAGCCCCCCGAGGGGCCTGATCTGGCCCCCAGGCAGCGTGTTTGACACCCCTGTCTTAAGTGATATTCCTTCCCTTACCAGAAATAAAAGATGATCTGAAAACAGGGTGAAAAAATAGATTTCATTTGGAAGGTTTGCCAGACACAGGCCGAGTATTTGGATGGGCTTTTGGGGTGGGGGTGGCAGCGCCTTCTCATCTGTGTTCCAAAGGGAGGGGAACAGAAAGGAGGGGGGGCAATGTTCCTTCTAAGCAGTTAGTGTGAGCTAGCTCACAGTTTTTTAGCCTCCAGCTCACACATTTTTGTCTTAGCTCAGGAAGGAGGGCTCCAGAGCAAACTAGTTTATGCAGTAGCCAAATTGCTCACTCACAACTTTCATGCCAGCAGCTCGCAAAGTAGGATTTTTGCTCACGAGTCCACAGCTTAGATGGAACATTGGGGGGGGGGGTTCACTTTAAGTTCATTCAGAGGGGATGGCTTTACCTTTATCAAACAGCACTTGATTTATTTATTTACTAAAGCATTTATATCCCACCTTTCCTCCAGATTCAAGGTTAGGTCCATCGGAAAAGAAGTCTAGCTGGGAAGATGACAGCGCTGTGCGTGGAGGAGAACATTTACAATCTTATCCCTGTGGAGGAAGAAAAGCCTTTCTTTCCACCCAGGTGTGGAGCTCCTGTGCAAATAATCCTGGCGACCTTTTGACTTTGAACTGTCTGTTCCTGTATCCATCCATATACCCATCCACCCTTCCATCTCAGTTTAATCCTGCCATTTCTGCCAGGACCTCGGGGTGGTTTACCTGGTTCTCCCTTAAGAATGTAAACACAAGAAGAGCCCTGCTGGGTCAGACCAGGGAGGGTCTATCTAGTCCAGCCTCCCGTCTCACACAGGGGCCAGCCAGTCCCTCTGGAGGGCCAAGAACAGGGCAGAGAGGCCGAGGCCTTCCCCTGAGAAGAACCTCAGAAGAGCCCTGCTGGGTCATCAGACCAGTGGTCCATGTGCTCCAGCGTCCCCCGCGGGGGCCAGCCAGTTCCTCTGGAGGGCCAACAACAGGGCAGAGAGGCCGAGGCCTTCCCCTGACGTTGCCTCCTGGCTCTGTGATTCAGAGGATTAGTGCCTCTGAATGCGGAGGTTCCCCTCAGCCACCATGGCTAGAAGCCATTGATAGACTTATCCTCCCTGAATCTATCTAATCCCCTTTTAAAACTTTTTATTCTTGTGGCCTCCACACTACATCCTCTGGCAGTGAATTCCACATTTTGAACACTCTCTGTGCAAAGTAGTACTTCCTTTTGTCCATCCGGAACTGCCTGCCCATCCCTTTTATTCTCAAAACAACCCCGTGGAGCAGGTGAAGCCCAGAGCCACCCAGTGAGCTTTGTGGCCAAGCTGCGACTTCCTGGTGCTATAGTCCCACACTATCCTTGCTATGCCAGACCAGCTCCCACTTTTGTCAGACATCCGGGCCCTACTTTTGTCAGACATCCTTGTGACTGACACCAGAATATGCCAGGGTAATGCCTGGAGGGAAGAAGCAACTTTCTGCACTCTAATTTTGCTCCTGTGTCTTCCTTCTTGCATCCAAGGTATATCTCCACATTCAGGGCCTTCGTGAGAAGGGAAGCGCAGGCGCAGAACAAAGCCCCGTGCAAGACGATGGGCGTGCCAAAACTCCAAGTCCCCACTCCGAAGGACTTTCTGCAAAAATATCCGAAGACGCCCAAGCTGCCGAAACGTAGGTTTTTGAAACATACTGGGTTCGAGGTCCATGTAGTGATCAGCTCATAGTTTATTGGTGATTTCAGCTTAACCCTAAGACAAAATCTGGCCTTGCAGCCCTGTTTATAAAGCCTGCAAAGACCACACCCCACCACCCACAATAGGCTATTTACATTACAACTACTCCTCTATAGGTCCATTCCAGGATCCTGGCTATCTATTGTTCTGGAGGAACAAGCTCAGGCAGTTTCCAGGTACTGTTCAGGCTCAGAACATAACAGTTTTCATACAGCATTTGCGCCAGCTTCTATCCCACATGTCTGCTTGCCAACATCCATGTAGGGGCTGAAGAGCTTCTGGCATGAGGACTGACCTCCAGACCACAGAGGGAAGTTCCCTTGGAGGAAATAGCTGTGACATCAGGGGGGTGGGCTCCATGACTGTAGGTCCCTCCCCAGCTCCCTCCCCTCCCACATCTTGCAATCCGTTTACTGATTAACTGATGTTACCGTGTTTTGTAATCTGCCTACCGGCTGACTGAAGCGCTTTTATCGTAATTATCCAGCCTGTATCATTCCACCCATAATTTAATCCCACTATTACCTACACCCCCCCTTCCTGTTCTGCTTGCCTTGCTTGCAGCTCCCACTGCTTTTGTCAGAGAGCCTGCGGTCCCTTCTGCTCACCTCACTCGGGGAAACCTGAGCCAGCCCCTGATCCATGCACCGGTGCTCTTAGTGGATGCCCTCTCTCGCAGGGTCCCATGGGCACATCATGTCCTCTTCTTTGCTCATGCAAAAGACTTCTCTCCCCTCTCTCGACTCCGAGGCAGCTGACGAGACTCCCTCCAGCTAAATGCAAGGCAACCGGAACAAATAGTGATAAAATTAGCTTTACAAATGCATCCAGGACTGTAGAATGGGCCGGCACCAGAAGATCATAATGTTCTGATGGGTAAACTAAAGGACTGTGGACAGGACTCTAGGACAGTTAGGTGGGTAGTGTCTTCCGAGTGGCAGTTTTTTCGGCCTAACACTAAAGGAGTGCATTTTAGAACTTTGGCACCCAAAACTCTTTTATTATAAGGGAGAGATATTTTAATTTTATTCCTAACATTTTAATGTTTGATATTCTGGATAGCATCTGTATGCATTTTACTGTTTTACCGGCTGATGTCTTTTCGGTTCTTTTACGTATTTGGTCAGTTATTGTACTAATAAATTGATATCAGATCTCAGAAGCTAAGCAGGTCCGTACTTGGATGGGAGAACATCAAGGAAGACTTTGCAGAGGAAGGCAATGGCAAACCAACTCTACTTACTCAGTTGCCTTGAAAACCCTTTGGGATTGCCATAGTTTGGCTGCAGCTTGACAGCACTTTACACACACGCATACACTAAAGTGTACATCTCATGTACGCTTCTTATATACATATATTTTTATGTTTTTTCTGATTATTACAGTTATTGGTTAATGGGAATAAATGTACTACTAAAAGTGTTTCTTTTCTTTTCTTTTTTTATACCAACAAAGGTTTATTCAAGGTTTTCCACATGTAACAATACAAGAATATAACAACAATATGATGAGAAGAGCAAAAGGAATAACAACAAACATTAGTTAACATTATCTAAATACTTAAGGAGGTATCATTATGCTCATTAACATAACATCTATTTTGCTGCTGACAACAGTTCATTGATGGGTTAGTAGCTTTAACCTATATGTTACTTTAAATAATTCTGTTTTCAGAAACAAAGCCAGTAGTTATCATTAGCAAAAGAGAAACTGAATTATTGGAAACCGCTTACATATAAATGGTGCTTGATAATCCTGGCATGATGTGGTCCATGGGGTCGCAAAGAGTCGGACTCGACTGTGCGACTGAACAACAACAAATCCTCGTTAGTGTGATTTGCTATTCCATCCGCTATGCCAGCCACATGACCACGGAAACGTCTTCAGACAGCGCTGGCTGTCACTTATCGATACAACGAACATGAAATTAAGCAAACTCCGGAGCACGACGGAAGACAGGAGGGCCTGGCGTGATGCGGTCGCGAAGAGTCGGACTCGACTGTGTGACTAAACAACAACAACACTTAGGGGAGGGCAGGGAGCTGTTCCTGTTGGCAGCAGAGGAAAGGACTTGCAATTATGGGTTTAAATTAAGGGTGGGAAGGTGCCAGCTGGATACTAGGAAAACCTTTTTGGCCGTCAGAGTTGTTCAACAGTGAAACCAGCTGCCTCAGGCGGTGGTGAGCTCCCCCTCCCTGACAGTCTTTAAGCAGTGGCTGGACAAACACTTGTCAGGGATGCTCTCGGCTGATCCAGCACTTAGCAGGGGGTTGCACTAGATGGCCTCTGTGGGAAATTCAATGTTCCCTCTAAACTGTGGAGCCTTGTGAGCAAAAATTCTACTTTCTGAGCTAGCAGCATTAAAGTTGTGAGTGAGCAATTTGGCTACTGTATACATTAGTTTGCTCTGGAGCCCCATCCTTCCTGAGCTAAGACAAAGATGTGTGAGCTGGAGGCTAAAAACCTGTGAGCTAGCTCACACTAACTCAGCTTAGAGGGAACACTGGTGGGAATGTGACGACTCTGGGGATGGGAATCTCTGCCAAGATGGGCTTCTTACGTTTTGTTTTTGTCTGTTTTCTTTCTGAGATACCTGCGTTTTTTAAAAAAAACTTTCATGGCTTAATGTTAAACAGGGGGGAAAGCTCGGGGCAGCAAGAAATCCCCGGTGCTGACCGTGCCACAGAGAACAGAGCGCCCTATCATGGGCCTTCGAAGCAGGAAGAATTTCATCACGGCAAATGCTGCCGAAGCCATCATGCTGGTACCCAAGAAGCCGCTCCGCGCCTGCATCGACGTGCGGAAGGGCGACAAGTTTCTCATCGACCGTTCAGGACTAGTTCAAAAGTACCTCAAGAAAAAGGTATGTTTTGCAGTTGGCAGCAGGGGGAAGAAACGGAAACGGAATCCAGAGCAGAGGGAGGCAGGGGTGCTGGTGGGCGGGGGGGAGGGGCCGGTGGGCGCTGCGCCACCCCCTGTGGATGGGGAGGGTCTTGCTTTGATATTTTCCACCAAAAGTTTGGGAGTTGCACTAGACCCTGCCCTCCTGCTAAGGACACAGGCATACATCGTGTGGGGGAAAGGGCCTTGCATCTTAGTCTCACCGAGCAAGTTGGCTCCCTTCCGGGATCTGGCTGATCTGGCCACACTGATCCATGCTCAGGTGATCTCTGTGTAAGAGTCTTCTCATAGAATCATAGAATGTTAAGAGTTGGAAGGGACCTTGCAGGTCATCTAGTCCAACCCCCGGCACTCAGCAGGAGCGTCGCCGAAAGAGGGTCGTCCAGCCTCCTCCGCTTGGAAACGTTCATGGGTACCACGTGGGTTGCTCCTGAATACAACCTGGAAAATTCAGGGTGTTCAGAATGCAGCAGCCCAACTGATGTGCAGGACCAGCCGCCGTGCTACCGTGGTGCCACTACTGAGATCGGATTCCAGCTTCAATTCAAAGTGCTGGTCGTGAGTGACCTTGAAAGCACCCTTCACGGACTGAGATCCACACACTCGAAAGATCATCTCTGCTGGCAGAACTGGTCTTCCCCACGGCTTGTCCTGGGTGTGGCCCAGCCTTAGTCCCTGGGTGTGTGGAATGGCTTTCCTCAGACTGTTAGAGATACGCCCACCCTCCTAGCATTTAGGAGACCATGCGAAGCTGAACTTTTGGGGAGGGCTTTTGGGGACGGGTCATGCTGTTGTGCTCAGCGGCATTCTTTCTGTAGGAATGGGGTGTTACTATTGTGCTCGTGCGCTTTAGGTACTGTGTGCTACTTTGGCTCTCAGGCCAGGGGAGGGTGGCCCAAAGATCACTAAATAAACGGAAGGCCACGGTCACACACACTAAATAATCCACTTTCAACCCACTTTCCAACTGGATTTTGCCAGTTCACACAGTAAAAATCCAGTTTGAAAGTGGATTGAAGGTGGACTATTTAGTGTGTGTGATCGCAGCCTAACGGTATCTAACTAAATTAAATTGATGGTGTTGAAATATTGTAAGGAGATCTGCAAACTTATAACTGCAAAAGGGTAGCCAAGGCTGCGGTCACACGGAACAGAAGCCACACAAGTGAGACGGAAAACAGGCGGAGTTTCCGGGTGCGATCTCACCAGCACATCTGGGAAGCGTAGCACTCCCGTGGCACAACTGAGGCTTCCAGCCGAAACTGCGTGGCAAAAAACTAGTACCTCGGAGGTACTAGTTTCCAGAAACTGCGGGGCAAGGGCGGGCATCTGATCGCGTTTCCGGTGGCATCTGGCGCCCGCCCATGTCCCCTTGCAAATAAGGTGGGGTTTTTTTGTCCACGTCTCTGTGGATGCGCACACGCACCCAACGGAGCATGCGCATTCGTCATGTACACACACACAAAAAAACAGTTTGCCGGGGCGCACGCTTCTTCGTTGCACGCCGGCTTGTCCTGTGATCAGCACCTCTCCCTTGCCATGGAACCTCCACGGTACTTCCACAGGACCTCTACGGGAGGTCTGATCGAGTAACTGCGCAGTAGTTTGCCCCAGGGCAAACAGCCACGCTTCTCCCCCACAGTTTCCTGCCTGTGTGACCGGGGCCCAAGTTAGTCTGTTGTAACAAAATAAAACAAAAGTCCAGTGATGCCTTAAAAACTAACAATGTTTATTTGAATTTATAATGCCATGTGTGAAGGAATGGTCTTTCAAGCTCCATTTCCTCTTAGCCCAGGAACTCAGGAAGGACCTGTGGCCACCCTGGATATCTCAAGCTGGAAGGATTTGTACTCCCAGAACTCTGTATCTGCTTTGCCATTTAAAAGCTCTGCCTAGTTGCCGTGTCTCCTGCTTCACTTGTGCTAGCTAGTGCAGAGATGATCTTCCACATTTTTGCACCTTAGGGATGGTGAGCTCACCTGCTGCCCCTCCCCATTACTGCTCTTTGGAAAGTGGGGCCAAATTAGGCATGGTGTAGGTACAGAGACCAGGCTTTGGGAATTCAGAATACAAGAAAAGTTTGATAAACAATTAAAAAGAGTACACATGGCCCCTGTACAGCACCAGTATGATCAAGGATAAAAAGAATGGTGAAAACATGCAGTCCTCTAAACCGTAACTGTACACTTACCCTAAATAATGTTATGATTAGTTTAGGGTAGTATCTTTAAAAGTTGCAAGCTTTAAAATCTGATTACTTTAGTTCTCAGAGGCTGGGGCTTCTCTCCATTGTTATTAGACGGTAAAAAGACTGGGATAAAAATGCTCTAAATAAACACAAATGCAGCAGACAATAAAACAGGATTGGATCCCACTTGCAGCTGGTTAATTTTTTTCAGTATCTACAACTGATAATATTCGTTAACCTTTTTTTTACAAGTTTATGTCTTCATACAATTTGGATTACGTGTTGTTGGGGAGCGGGAGATATGAGAACGACTGTTTTTCATGGGGTGCCATTTGAGTTCTAAGGCAGAAATGTAAGCACCGTGAACATGCACAGGGTTCTTTTCTTCCAGGATTTTGGTGCCGTACCCAGATACCTGATGAAACGAAACGAGGAAGCAAAGAGGGCCAAGGAAGAGTCTGACAAATGCATCAAAGAGACCCTCCAGCAAAAAGCCCCCAAACGGGTTTCCAAAGAAGAGAGGGAGGATCTTCTGGAGGTACCTGGTGGATTTAAGTCACAGGGTGCCAAGGACAAAAGACAAACTGTCCTCTCGTTAGGAGTTTCTCCACAAGCTGTACATTCAGGACGGGTAGTTGTCACGGGATGGGACTCTATTATGAGAGTACGTAGAATGAGGCAGGGTTCTCTTTTGGCGCCAAGCATCTTATAGGGACAGTTTGTCATTAAAAAACCTGCTGCTGTAAGAGGAGAAAAGGGTGATACCAGACTGTTATGAAAGAAGTAGGTGAATGTTCTTTTCTTACCAGAAATGCATATGAAGCAAGCACGGGAATAATTTTTTTTTAGAATATATGAATTTGGATAAAGTTTATAAAGCAAAGGGGGTGCCATTTGTGTAATCCTCAGATAAATGTGGTTGGATTTGAGAGCATCTCAATGACTGTGGTCATAAATGAACTTATTTCTTTACAGCAACCACAAGTCTTACAGAAAGAAGCCAAAATAATTTTGATCCCTAAATCAGGGAAGGACCCTTGAAGGGAAAGACCCATCACACATGTGTTCATATTGGCCGATCTCTTTGCTGAATATTGATTTAAAAGTCTTTTCCTCCACAATTGCCAAGTGACTTAAGTTTATAATCAAGCAATGCTCCCTCTAAGCTGTGGAGTCTTGTGAGCAAAAAATTCTCCTTTGTGAGATACTGGCATTAAAGTTGTGAGTGAGCCATTTGGCTACTGTTTGAGAGCCAGTTTGGTGTTGTGGTTAAGTGCGCGAACTCTAATCTGGAGAGGCGGGTTTGATTCCCCACTTCACCTCCACATTGACCTGCTGGGTGATCTTGGGTCAGTCACAGTTCTCTCAGAGCTGTTCTCTCAAGAGCAGTTCTCGAAAAAGCTCTCTCAGCCCCGCCTACCTCACAGGGTGTCTGTTGTGGGGAGGGGAAGTGAAAGGAGTTTGTAAGCTGCTCAGAGACTCTGAGTGAAGGGCGGGGTATAAATCCAATCTCTTCTTCTCTTCTTCTACTGCATAAATTAGTTTGCTCTGGAACCATCCTTCCTGAGCTAAGACAAAAATGTGTGAGCCAGAGGCTAAAAAACTGTAAGCTAGCTTCCACTAACATAGTTTAGAGGGAACACTGTAACCAAGTATATCAATCCAGCTAGATTCAAGTCCAGCAGCACCATAGCGGCCAACAAAGTTTTCGGATAATACGAACTCAAGAGTCAAAGCTCCCTTCTTCAGATATGGGTTAGAATGGAGATCTGAGTCCTCATATCCTTAGAGATCTCCTTTCCAACCTGTATCTGAAGATGGGAGCATTGATTCTCAAAAGCTCATAATTAAAAAATCTTGTTGGTCTCTTATTTGCTAGCAGACTCAAAACTTGCTGTTCTACCGCAGTTCAACACGGCTGCCTCTGAAATGGCCCAGGTCAAAAGTGTTTCACTGGGAAAAAGCATAAGTCAGCTAATATCAAGGGGCTGCTGATTGTTAAAGCAGCTAGTCCTCTAGATGAGGATTTGTTGATATTTCTCGGTGCTGAAAAGGCTTTTGATAGAGTAGAACAGCCAAATCTGGCAAGAACATTAGAGAGGCACTGCCTTTCTCATACCCTTGTGAAATTTAAAAGCTGGACAGCACTCATGTATGACCACTCATCAGAAGCAGCGGTTGTCAGCAGGGAAGTCTCTGAAAAGTTCTCTCTCGATAGGGAAATGCATCAAGGTTGTCCACTTTCACCCCTTTTGTTAATATCTGCAGTAGAACCCCTTGTGGTTGCTATTTAGAACAATCCAAAAACAAATGGAGTTACTTTTGGAAATCAAACATCAAAAGTATGCCTCTTTGTGGACAATGTTGCTTTTACTATAGCTAAACCAATGGAGTCAGTTGTCAAAATAAGAAGTTTGATTAATCTATTTTGGGGCAGTTTCTGGTCAACCTAATAAAGTCCGAATGAGTAGGCCCTGGAGCTCAGTCCTCCGCCGCCACTCGCTAGACTGATGGGGGAAACGGGGGACAAAACTGCATCATGCAATGCCGCAGCATCACCTCCGGCTGTGTAGAATCATAGAAAAGTTGGAAGGGACCTCCAGGGGCATCTAGTCCAACCCCCTACACAATGCAGGAAATTCACAAATACCCCCGCACAACCCCCAGCGACTGCTGCTCCACACCCAGAAGATGACAAAAAACCTGTGTGCCCAGAGATGACATCACTCTTAACATGGTGCTCTAAGAATTTCTCCAGTCTCTGCGGATTTGACCATAGTGTTGCAGGGAACTCCTAGAGCAGTGGTGGCGAACCTATGGCACGGGTGCCGGAGGTGGCACTCAGAGCCCTCTCTGTGGGCACATGTGCCATCGCCCCAGCCAGGCCCAGACCATCATTAAAGTGTCGAATTCTCTGCCAAATAATTTTAAGTAAATGAAAGCATTTGGGATCGCTTTCCTTACTTTGTTTGGATCATCTTAAGTTAATGTATGAGTTGTTTTTTCTAAAGTAAAACCTCCATATTCAGGTTAAATTGCCGTGTTGGCACTTGGCGATAAATAAGTGGGTTTTGGGTCACGGTTTGGGCACTCGGTCTCTAAAAGGTTCGCCATCACTGTCCTAGAGCATCACATGAAGCAGTAACCTCAATTTTGATGACTCAGCCATCTCACCACGGATCCATCTTCCCAGTCTTTCAGAGGTTGCCAGCACAGGGGTGGCAGGCAACTGAAGGGCCATGGACACTTTAGACAGTAGTGAACATAAGAACAGAAGAGAAGCCAATGCTGGATCAGGCCAGTGGCCCATCCAGTCCCAACACTCTGTGTCACACAGTGGCCAGAAATACCAGGTGCCATCAGGAGGTCCAGCAGTGGGGCCAGGACACTAGAAGCCCTCCCACTGTTGCGCCCCCCCCCCCCAAGCACCAGGAATAGAGAGCATCCCTTGCCCCGGACTGAGAGTTCCCATCTATACCTTGTGGCTAATAGGGGCCACTGATGAACCATTGATGCACCCATGTCTCCCTTATTGGCACTCCAGGGCACGTGCTCTGCTGTCTGGTCCTCCCAGAGAGGTGTGTGTTGTTGTGCCCCACCCCCACAGAATACCTGCAGGGAACCAAGGTGGAGACGTGTCTGTGTCACTTGGGGGACCACCAAGGTTTGCAGAAAAGCCTAGAGGAGGGAATATATATATATGGGGTGGGTGGGTTAAATCACCTCCAAACAATAACATGGTCTGTGCATGCACACGCAGCGAATGGACTTGCCTCCTGTGTCCCGAAGGAGTCCAGGAGCTGCGCCTGGCTGCGTCGCTGTCACCCTCCTGGGAGCAGCTCTGGGCCCAGCTGCAGCAGCAGCCGTCTCCAAGAGAGAAATTCCTTTTTAGAAACGTGTAACCTAGCAGTTCGAAAGCAAGAAATTGCAAGTAGATAAATAGGTACCACTTCGGTGGGAAGGTCACAGCATTCCGTGCGCCTTGGTGTTTAGTCATGCCGGCCACATGACCACGGAAACGTCTTCAGACAGCGCTGGCTCTTCGGCTTTGAAACGGAGATGAGCACCACAACTTACCTTTACCTTTAATTCAGTACATTGTGAAATGGTGGGTTTTAATATATCCCCTGAAGCAAAATACCGAAAGAGACACACTGCCCTTTCCAAAGGAGGAGAGATGCTGAGCTGACATACTGTGCTCAGCCAGCAATAGCAGAAGGATGGGGGAACTCAGAGCCTTTGGACCTAGTGGTTCCTCTGGGGGTCAAATATTGTACTGTTAACTAAAATATATTGTCAGAGGGTTCAGAGAAATCGTTTTAGACATTTAGATATATTTATTGAGTGTTGTTGGTGTTTTAAATAATATTTAGGAATAATAAGGTAAGAAGGAGTTTCCTTGTGCCTTTTACAGGTTATTTTAAATACCTCTTTTTTTCCCTGCAGTTGGGGAAATAAATGTGCTCTGCTAAACAAAAATCCCACTAGGACAGGAACTCTGTTGTGTCTGCTACAGTTGTGCTACCAACTCTAGAACTGTCTGTAGAAGAGAGCTCCAAGTTTGCCTTTGGCCATATCCACAGTGGGGGGCGTTTACGGAAGATGGCCAGAGACACTGGAGGGGCAGCAGCCGTTTTGGTAAAAACTGGGGCCTGCTGTAGAGTTTCTTCCTGGTTTTATCAGTACTGGATGGTCTCATCTCCTCACAGAAGAAAGGGATTGCCCGGATCTTTGGTGTAGTGGTTAAGTGCGCGGACTCTAATCTGGGAGAACCAGGTTTGATTCCCCCACTCCTCCTCCACTTGCAGCTGCCGGTGTCACCAGTTCTCTCAGCTATTCTCTCAAGAGCAGTGCTCGAAAGAGCTCTCTCAGCCCCACCTACCTCACAGGATGTCTATTGTGGGAACAGGAAGGGAAAGGAGATTGCAAGCCGCTCAGAGACTCCTTCGGGTAGTGAAGGGCGGGGTATAAATCCAATCTCCTCCTCCTCTCCTTCATGAGCTATTTAACCATTTTCTGACATCACTGTGTGGAAATCTTTTTCATAAGGCTGCTACGTGCTCCATAGGAATTCACTTACTTTTTTCTTCTTCTTTCATGCAACCGATCCAGGGCCTCAAGAAGAACTGGGAAGAGATCAACCAGGCTTTTCAGAGCATGTCTGTGGCCGTAGAGACCATCCCACGGAAACTGTACCGGGAGAAGCTGGAGACCCAGATGAAGCAGCTGGAACACGACATCGGCATCCTCGAGAAACACCCAGTGATCTACATAGCCAACAAATAGGGGCTTTAGGAGACGCAGCGGGCCTGATCCGGGCAAAGTTAAGCACTGCCACCTCCTGCTGCGTCCAAAGGGGGGGGGCCCCCCTGCTCCTCCTAAGTATCTCTCATTGAAAGCAGTGGGATCTCGGTACTTAATGGTGAATGGCTCGTGCTTTACCCAAGTTGACTAATGAAACTACTTTCAGTAAGGAGAAGGAAAACCATCCTTTATTCAACAGTACAATAAGCATTAAAGGAGGGTATTTTATAGGCTTACAAAATATTGGGTTTGATCCTGGGACCTGTTCTTCTCAAGGCCACCCCCCCTCGATGCAGGGAGACTCCGGCGTGGGAGGAATGCACCCTGCCACCTCCACTGCCCAAGCGGTTTGGTTTCAGAGTTCTTTAAAATGTGCCTAGTAATCCTTGTTTCCCCCGAAATAAATCTCACGTGCATTACCTTGACCGTCCATTTATTTAGCATCCAGCTAGTCTTCCCTCTAGGCTGAGTGAGTGTGAGCCAGCTCACACATTGTTTGTCTCAGCTCAGGAAGGAGGGCTCCAGAGCAAACTGATTTATGCAGCAGCCAAATCGTTCGCTCACAACTTTAATGCCAGCAGCTCACCAAGTAGGATTTTTGCTCACAAGAGGACCCCACAGCTTGGAGGGAGCATTGTATCCAGTCATTACTTTTCATGCATGGTGCCCAAAATGGTATGTGATAATTGCGAAGAAAAAGGCAAAAGGAAATTTGATGGCCAGCGGTGAAAGGCCCCGCCCACAGACATAGAATTGCACCTATATTTATATAGATAATACTCAATATATTTGTTCAACATTTTTCTCCCCAAAAGGAACCGAAACTTACAACAGTAATTTTAAATATAATTAAAACACGCAATTTAGGTAAAACAAAGAGAAAGCAGCCAACTACACCTTGGGTGGTTCTTGAATTGAAAGGACCAACCCATTAAAGGCCACCTTCAAGAGCCACTTTGGTGGAGTGGTTAAGTGTGCGGACTCTAATCTGGGAGAACTGGGTTTGATTCCCCACTCCTCCATTTGCACCTGCTGGATGACCTTGGGCAAGCAGTAGCTCTGATAAGAGCTGTCCTTGAAAAAGAGCAGTTTCCGTCAGAGCCCTCTCGGCCCCGCCTCCCTCACGGGGTGTCTGTTGTGGGGAGGGGAAGGGGAAGGAGTTTGTAAGCCACTCTGAGACTCCTTCGGGTAGTGAAGGGCCATGGGGTATAAAGCCAATCTCCTCCTCCTGCTCCTGCTCCTCCTCCTCCTCCTCCTCTTCTTCTTCTTCTTCCTCCTCCTCCTCTCTTGCCTTTCAGCTTGGGTCCCAGGCAATGCCCGGGTATATTCCTAGAGACAGGAAGAACTCAAAAAGAACTCCTGGGATCTGGCCTGCAGGAGGAGCTGGACCGCTGGGTGGCCTGCTGGGACCGTCTTCCTCAGTGCTTTGCAGATAGAATCTCTCCCATCCTTACCAACTAGGACTCTGCATTCTCAGAGACAGGGTCAGAGGGTACCAGGGTACCCACAGTAGTCTGAAAAACTTTTCCAGTTTGTTCAGTATCAAGACGTGGATGGGGTTCTTGGAAGTGTGGGAGCTGCCACCTGCTGGTACCACCTCGGCCCCTTCTGGCTGCTTCAGTCCACGGGGGGAGGGGGCGTGCGGATTGGGGCCAGAAGGCAGTAATGCCTCCCTGAGAAAGGGGGTGGGGGGCGGTCCCCCCCTCCTGCCTCTGTGCAGCAGTGCATTCACTCCTAGAGAAACCTACTCTGGGCCCAGGATCCCTGAACCATTCCCAACCAGTCTGAAACGTCCTGCTCTTGAGCAAGGGGACTGGACGGGTGGTGCCTGGGCCGCTCCGGGGATCTGGGGGCGAAGCGGACTGTGTGGCTCATCTGGGACTGGAACGGCCCTGGCAGCTCTGAGGGACGGCCCGCGGCAGAAGATGTTAATTCCCCTGCACCTTTTAGCAGCATTCAAAACCAGGGACCACGGCACAGCTTTGGACCACTTTTTGGGACAGGGACGGAGACATTCTGTTTTGGGGCGGTTCCAGTCCTGCCTGGAAGGGTTTACAGGCTTCCTGCTTTCCGCACACTCAAAAGAACAAAAGCACAAGCTTTTAGGTGGCTTGGCAACACACAAATGCTGGCTCTCTTTCCGCAGCTGGGCAGGTGGGTGGGTTGCTGGGAAGAGAAAGGAGGTTTTGCAGGCGCAGATCAGCTCATGTGCTTGCATCTGGTGGGCCCGAGGGAGCCCCTCAGCCACCCCGCCTGACCAGCCAGAGCTTCAATGGGGTGAGGACGGCTGCTTCTGCATAAAGGGCCAGATATCCCCCTGGCCGGCTTTTCCTTCCCTGCCTCTTTGGTTGCTGCCAAGTCATGCTCCAAACACCTCCTCCGGGATGCTATTTCCCCTCCTCCAGAGCTGCAGGGGCTGCAGGAGAGCTGAACCCCCCCCCCTGTGCTGGGGGCTTTTCTCAGAATTACTGGGGATCAGTGTTCCCTCTAAGCTGAGCTCGTGTGAGCCAGCTCACAGTTTCTTAGCCTCCGGCTCACACATTTCTGTCTCGGCTCAGGAAGGATGGGGCTCCAAAGCAAACTAATTTATGCAGTAGCCAAATCGCTTGCTCACAACTTTAATGCCAGTAGTTCACAAAGTAGAATTTGTGCTCACAAGACTCCACAGCTTAGAGGGGGCATTGTGTGGGGATCATAATCTTGTGGGGGCTGTTTCTCCTTTCTTTTGCGAGGGGTTAAGTACAGAAGAGGAGGAAAAGTTCTCTCTGCTCACTCTCTCCAACTGGTGCAGAATTTATAGACCTGTCTCCTGTCTCCC